GAGGAATTGCCCGCCATGACGGCATAAGGTTTGTATGGTTCTGCCAATTTCACAGCTTTCCGAGCAGAATCTGCCACCTTTTCGAGTATTATCCAAAAATATACACCAAATACAAACCGAGGCTGAAGGCCCAGGTTTGTTTGATGGTGTATATTTTCCATATACACTCCAGCCAAGGGTATATCCGACTTATACCTGCATGTACCTCAGTTTGTATCCTAAAAAGGAGTAGACAATACAGTGAATATACACTGACCGAGGCTCTGCATGATGAATGGACGTGTACATGTTTAAAGTAGGTATAACTATAAGCTATGATAATATGCCACTAACACTGCCAGTTACTTGACAATCAGCTCATGCGATAACATTGCACGACACTGACCGACGGCACTGACTGGTGGTGTTAGTGGATTTGTATAGCCTAACGTGTAGCTCCTTGGTTCGATTTTCTTCTTATAAATTAATGCTTGGCTCTCCACCCGAGTCGAATTGTGCATAGTATGTGGGATAACGAAGGAGTCCAGAATGGGTTCATCGCTGCTGGTCTTGTTTTAGGCCACTGGACTGGACTGTACATGTACGTAGTCGTTGTTGTTGTTGTTGTTGTTGTTGTTGTTGTTGTTGTTGTTGTTGTTGTTGTTGTTGTTGTTGTTGTTGTTGTTGTTGTTGCTGTTGTTGTTGTTGTTGTTGTTGTTGTTGTTGTTGTTGTTGTTGTTGTTGTTGTTGTTGTTGTTGTTGTTGTTGTTGTTGTTGTTGTTGTTGTTGTTGGTGTTGTTGTTGTTGTTGTTGTTGTTGTTGTTGTTGTGCTGTTATTTAAAGTCGTTCAACCAAACAGGCAATGGTGCCTGCTCACAAGGAGACGACTTAGAAGAGGAGAGGGCAGAACGAAAATGGGGAGGGGAGAAAAGCAGGCACGGATGGGAGATACATGTAGAATGGAGAGGATAATGTAGTATAGATTAAGAAGCAGGAGTAAAATCCAGAGCTTTGGCAAAGTACAAAAAGCGGTTTAGGCAGCTGGGAGAAAAAGGAGGTCTTGCGAGCGCAATGCATCATGCAACCGCTTCTTCTCTCCAATGGATCGAAGTTCCGCCGAGAGACTGTTCCACAATACGCTTCCCACAAACTGGATTGACGATCGGCTATAAGGGCCTCTTAGGAAGGGTATTTGCAGGAGATTGAAGGAAAGACCACGAGTTTTGCGGCGCTTAGGCGGGCATGCAGCATTAATAATTATTAGACTAAAGAAATTGTCGAAAAGAGGGCTTGTAGCAGACTGGATACAGCGATGGACGAATACTAATAATTTTAGCCTATAATTAATTATGTGGACAAGAGGAAGGATGCGTGTCTGTGCAAGCAAAGTTGACTTCGTCGACCCCGCTCTCCCTAACACCCAGTTTGCATACCGCCCTGGACACTCGACCGAAGATGCGCTGGCACTGCTCTCGGACACCGTCCTCCAAGCCCGAGACAATGGTTCTGTTGTAGCAACATGCCTGTTAGATATGAGTAAAGCCTTTGACAAGGTGAAGCATGCCACCCTCATCCAGGACTTGTTCAGCATCGGTATCTCCGGCACAGCCCTGAAATGGTTTCGGGACTATCTGTCTGGGCACCATCAACGCGTTCGTATGGGCTCCCGACTGGGCAGAACTGTACCGTGCACTTGTGGTGTGTTGCAGGGCTCTGCACTAGGACCCATGCTTTTCTCCATATACACAAGAGAAGTCCCCTCTGAATCTGTGCCGGCATCATCACTGCAGTTTGCGGATGACATCGCCCTGACATGTGCAAGACGGACAGCGCAAGAGGTGTCTGATGCGCTCAGCTTGGCGGTTACCTCCCTCTCAAGTTGGCTGGACGCTCGTGGTCTTGTATTCAATGCAAAGAAGAGCAATGTATTGCTTTTACCAGCAGCAGTGGGCAGCAGCCGGACGTGGTTGTACGCTGGCGAAATGATGTACTTCCGCACACCACCAGCGCGAAATACCTCGGCGTCTTGATCGATCAACGAATGGCCTGGCAGCCGCAAGTTGACCGGTGCATCTCACGCACTGCTAGGAAGATCGGTAGTCTGTGGCGGGCGCGACGCTGCCTCACTCTAGCTAGCCGAAGCAAGTACTTCCTATCTGTCATCATGCCGGATTTGGATCGTCAGCATATGGCTCCGGCTTGACCCACAACCAGCTAAACCGCTTGCAGGTGGCCCAAAACCGCGCAGCAAGGGCGGTGTTCGGACGACCACGATTTACCAGGGCCAGTGACCTCTTGGAGAGGCTCTCTGTTTATCGCGTGGACGAGGTATATCGCCAGAAACTGCTCGTGCTGGTATGGTGGTGCGTTCATAACCGTGCCATTCTTGCTCTGCAGGCACTGTTTGCTCGCAACTGCGGAGCAACTCGCCTTCAGCGCAGTCTGGGCCTACAACAACCAATAGCCAGAAGCCGAGCAGGCCAATGCCGACCGGCATCTCGCGGCTGCCTGTGATGGAACCATATACCTGACACGGTACGCGGTGCGAGCCATGGGCAGCATCCCAGCATTCCGCCGAGCTGCCATTCCCTACACGTTGTAGACTGCTACACAGTTGGTCATACCATGGTATTCAGTACCCACGAACTTTGCAAAGCCGATAATGTGATAATGCACCGTGGTGCATGCACAGATGGTACCACCACTTCGTAGACTGCCTCCCGTTCATTTCTGTGCTCCTGTCTTTATTCTCGTCAGCTATGTACTTCAGCAGTTCAATTCTGTGCTCCAGTCGACTAGTCCTCTGTATTCTCGTGAGTTGTGTACCTGTTTGGCTGTTTTTGTTTTTGTTTTTTTTGAATTCGCACAGTAACCGTGTACTTCAGCTATTCTCTCCTTAACTACTTCTTCTGAATTTGACTCTCCGCTGGCCTTCTCTCCTCCCATCCCCTTACATTGTATTGGGCCTCCGCAGCCCCCCCCCCTCCCCCCACCCCCCCCCCCCACCCCCGCACACACTATTGACTACATTAGGCTACATCTTCGTAATCGTCATACTCGTCCAACCGATGTCACCCTAACCCTGCGAATTCTCGTAATCAGCTCATCTCTCCCGTAGCTCCAGCTCTCCTTCCATCATGACCGAACATCAACTATACCTCCATTTGTATAATTATTAGAGCAATATCCATAGCATGCACAGTCATAGCTGCTAAGACCCAGACGTCATGACTTCGTTACAAGCATAGTGTACATGTACGCGGAGTTTTGCGGACTACCCGTCACTATCTCGTCCGCCCCGGGGATACCAGATAAAGGCTGATTCACTCGCATCTTCTGCTACATGTACTGTATCAGGGTGAGAAAGAACTTTGAAGAAGACGAGTTCGAGCACAAAAAATTGAAAAAATGTACAGTAGTAGCAGGCTGGTCGCTAGTCACGGTGGTCTTTAGTTACAGGTTTTACTGTATTGCCATGATTTCTACCCTGCTTTTCATTGAAAACACTATCTGCATGACCTCCGAACCCTTTACCATGCAGACCACCAGCACTGATCAGGTGCATTCTATACAATTGTGTCGCCTACATACTAGAACTGTGATACAATCATGCAGTTATGCTCCTACCTCCGAAAGGATTCCAAATCTTGCTCCAAATTTTCAACCACCAAAATATGCCAATAATTATGCCGGCATAATCCGCCAGTGCCTACTGGCGCGCCGCCCAGGGCGTCGGATTTCAGTTGCCAGCACTGTACTAGTAGCCAGTCTCTGTAGCTGCCAAACAAGCTAACCGCTACTGGAGTTGCAAGTACAGTAAAACCTGTCAAGGCGACCACTCGGACAAGGCGACCACCTGTCCTAGGAGACCACTGAACCCAGGACCAAGGGATCTGATTTCCAGTCAAATGACCCTGGACAAGGAGACCACCTGGTAACAGAGACCACGTTTTGATGGTCCCTTGAGCGGTCGCCTTAGGCAGGTTTCACTGTACATGTAAAAGAACATCAAGCACTGCCGAGTCTGCCGTTACCTCGCGCAAGTACAAGTCTAAAGTTATTAGCAAATCCTCGAAGTTTTCCGACAATGCCAACTCCCGCTACTCTGCAGCTGCCTACTCTACCCAGCTTTAACGAGTTACATGGACATACATGTACATGTATCTGTGCTAACAGGCTTTCCGAGCTTACACCAGCCAGTGATAGATACCCCTACCTTGCCTCTGTCCAATCCTTCCTGGGTTGTGCCGGTTGCCAACATCGACGGTCTCCTCAGAAGCCTAGTGGATGACGAAAGACTATCTGCCTTGGAGAAGCCACAGGTAGAATCAGCTGACACCACTAGGATCGTTCTCTACCACTATGGCCCCAACGTACTACCGGTATGGTCAACATTCCATGCAGTAAAGCATATCTTGAACAAGAAAACGGTTCTTCAGAATTCCCAAACTCCATTGCAGCGTGGCGGTATTTTCAGGTGCAAGAGAACGATTATCCAGACTACTGGAGACTGAACACCGAAGTGCTACTTGTTCGGCCAAGTTGCCCACAAGCCTCGTGCTGCTGTCTGGGGTATTACTCGCATAGTCGCCACTAGTACTCAAAGAGTATAAAATACTCAGCAGCGTTTGGCCTGTTTATCAGTATACAACTTGGAGTCATGCTGCTGGTGTGTGAAGTCGGCCAGAGATCCCGTTTGGTGGAGGTGCCGTGGATTACTTTTAATGTTAGTACATTGTAATCGGTGAAATGGCCGTCAACACGTGAAGAGGCTTCAAAGCTATACTACAGTGTATGCATTGTGTGTTCACTGCATGCCTGCATTAGGGGAAGAAGTCCGAAGAACCCATGGAATATTCTACCCTTTGTGCTTCTTTACGGTTCTGCCGATTCCAATACTTTTGGGAGCAGAATCTGCCAATGCTTAGAGCATTATGCGCCAAGCGTAACCCAACCCAACCCAACCCTTCACTAAAAGATATGGCCATTTACAAACTCCCAAGAGCCACAACCAAAACGAGTAAGGTTTGAGAAAGCGTTGCTATTTGCAAAGGAAACGAACAGTTCATGATGCACATCTATTAAAGTCTATCAATGCAGGATAAGAACTAGTGCGTACTTTAGTAAGCATCAACAGCAACGTTTACAGGGAAAAGTGGAGGAAAAAAGTCAAGAGAAATCGACAAGGATTTTAGTATCTGTGGTGGTCTGGCGGAGCAAATACAGCAGGGTCAAGGGTTTTGAACATTGAAGTACTATTGCGAGCACATCAATTTTGAATTGGTCATAGGTATCATGTCCGATGCTCGTTTTCACAATCTCTTTCCTTACTTCTTGTGGATCCTTGCCACGGTGAAAAAGATGCCAACCACGGACTCGTGCCCAGGAGCATGATTACTTGCCCAGGTTGATGATGCCGCAAACAGAGTCACGAATGCCGTTGAGAATAATACACTGAAAGCTCGATCCGCTTAGCTGCACAGAATTCTCGACGATGCCGCAGATACTGTTGAAGAGGGTCTTGTAGTAGGTGCAGACAGGCGAATCAGCGTTGGCAGAAACTGCATTCGACTGGCCAACCATAGCGCCATGAGGTAGGTTATTGGCCAGGTACTCAGCATATGCCTTCATAGCAACTTCATTTTGCGCATTTCCTTGCTCATGTGCTGGCCATGGCGCAGCATTGATGACAGCCACACAGACCACCAGAGTAAAGAAGAGGACTTGGACGTACTTCATCTTGAAAATCAAGTTTGGGAGGCGAAAGAAGCTTACAGGAATTAGGAACTGAATCACCGTTATGCCCCAGCAGTTAAACATCAGCTTCCTTTATACCCATGGCTGGCCATCTCCCTGCCATTGTGCCGCCATGGCAACAGCTAAGATATTACCGAAGATTATTGGGTTGTTCACAGTTTAGTGTGAGGTCCAGGCGGCATAGTACGATGAATGGGCAATCTTTTGCCAACCGTCCAGTTGTTAGCTCGAGCCTAAAAAAACACTAGTGGATGGTTGGACCACTTGCGCACGTGTCCAGGCTGGGGTGTCAACCTGGATGCTCTCTGCCAGTCAGTACAAGACTAGCACAGCCAGCCTTCCTTGATACTGTGATCGTCATCACCTTCATCACTAGCTCTGTGCTGAGGGCTAGGTCACTGTTCCACTTTGTGTTGCCTGTTCTGTCCAAAGCACGGAAGTAAAGAAAGCACATTAGTGGGTACTGGTCTTGAGGCCTGGGACAGGTGACGCAGTGAGCAACCCATTCAGGACAATACCGGTAATTCTTAATTTCTTTATACCACATACTGTGTGCATTCGCATTGTACTTTGTCAATCGGCTCCCACCTGTGGATTTCCGTGTACCTATTGAGCTGAGTCGTCAGATGCGAAAAGGCACATACAGTAAAACCTGTGAAGGCGACCACTTGGATAAGGCGACCACCTGCACCAGGGGACCACTTCAACCAGGACCAAGTGATGCTACCTCCAGTCAACTGACCCTGGATAAGAAGACCACCTGTACACAGCAACCACGTTTCGAAGGTTCCTTGAGCGGTCGTCCTAGACAGGTTTCACTGTATCTTGGTCAGCTAGATGTGCAGGTGAGAAAAACCCTTTGAATGTTTATGTCACGTGGTCGTTTTAACCAATAATAATTATTATTGTATGTGCCATGATCATGCGGATACGCGTTGAGTCAATACTTCACAATGCACTGCTGCCTGATGGACTCCCATCACCCACCAAGCTGACACCACCAGGTCCTTGCTCTACGTACATGTACGTATAAACCGACCATATTCTACCACTAACTTACTAGGATAGTCAACAGCTCATGCAGCAAGGGATCTAATACAATGGCATTCAGGGAGTCGTACCCAAACTACATGATTGTAGTTTGAGCACGACTCCCTGAATGCCATGTACAAGTAGTTCAAGCAAGAGAACGGTTCTCCAAACTACGGTACTCAAGTGCCGCTTTGTCGGCCGAGTTTCACACGACCTTGGCACTGTTGTCTGGGGTGCTCAACACTCTTGCATACATGTAGTAGTAGTAGTAGTAGTAGTAGTAGTAGTAGCTGCTGGAATGGCAGTCACCACGTGTAGAGGCTTCACGTTTTTACTACAGACAGTACATGCATGGTGTGTTCCCGGCATGCCTGCATTTTTTATACTAATGATGGGAAGAGGGGACATCCCGCTGGAATATTCTGCCCTTTGCGTTTGTTTTCAGTCTGCGGATTCCAATACTTTTTGGAGCAGAATCTGCCAATTCTTAGAGCATTGTGTGCCAAGAGTAACTCAACCCTTCACTAAAAGGTATGGCCATTTACAAACTGCCAACAGCCATAGCCAAAAATAGCAAGGTTTGTGAAAGCGCTGCTTGGATCCATACAAAGACTGGATCCAGGTGGATTCAGTTTTTGAATTTTTCAAATTGTTGCTATGCTATTGCTATGCTGTGACGTAGCACTTTCAAGCCCTATAGTCAAGAGTAAGCGACATAGATGTAGTATCTGTGGTGATCTGGTGGAGCAAATACATAGATGTAGTATCTGTGGTGATCTGGTGGAGCAAATACATAGATGTAGTATCTGTGGTGATCTGGTGGAGCAAATACAGCAGGGTCAAGCGTGTGTAAATTGAAGCATTGGGAGCACAACATTTTTTGAATTGGTAATACATGTAGATGTCATGTCCATGCTAATTCCCACAATCTTGTTCCTTTAATACTTCCTTGTCAATCCTTGCCACGATGTTAAAGATACCCACCACGGACTCGTACCCAGGACAGCAAGATGAGCGTGATTACTTGCCCGCCTTGCTGATGCCACAGACGGAGTCACGAATTCCCTTGAGAATCAGACACTGAAAGTTCACTTGGCCAATATTCAAAGAATGCTGCACGATGCCGCATACGCGGTTGGAGAGGTCCTTGTAGTAGGTGCAGGCAGCGTTGGTATCTTCTAGGCTTTCCATAATACCAAATCTGTAAAAGAAGTGATGAGCAATAGGTGAGCACAGAAAAAGATAAAGACATTATCTAGGGCAGAGCTCTGCCCTTGAACATATGATTGTAAGCATGTTTGGTTTCGGTTCTATTATTTCAGTTCGTTGCCTCAACAGTACAAAGTACAAAATTAATATCAAGAGGGACGAACGAAAAAAGAAAGTAAAACAGAGCAGAAAGGAAGATGCAACTGGGCAAGCGAAAAGAGAAAGTAAAACAGATGTAAACATGAAAAGTGTGCCAGAGATAAGCTTCTAAAGAATACGATGTGACGCTACATATTCAACGGAATTCCGCTGCAATGAAACCAATGCTCGTAGAACTGTTTGTGCAGTTTTTTTGCTTAAATTCGCTTAACCTAGTCAAGGAGGTGATCTTAGGGGGCAGACAATTCCGGAGGGTGCTGTATCTATGGAAGTGGAATAGACACCTACATACAGCTCTCACCACGGAGCATGATGAAGGTGATGGCAATCACAGGATTTAGGACGGCTGTGATAGTCTTGAACTGACTGGCAGAGAGCATCCACGTAACTAAGTCGTTGACACCTTCGCCAGGACACATGCGCAAGGGGTCCAACCATCCACTAGTGTTTTTAGGCTCGAGTTAACACCTGGAGGGTTGGCGAAAGACTGCCCATTCATAGCACCATGCCGCCTGGACCTCACACTAAACGAACCCAATACAGGATTATCTTCGGGCATGCCTTAGGTGTTGCAATTGCGGAGCAATGACAGAGAGATGGCCAGCCATGGGTAGCTGTTGTTGAACTGCTGGAGCATAACGGTGATTCAGTCCTGTAAGCTTCTTTCGCCTCCCAAACTTTGATCGTCAAGATGAAGTGCGTCCAAGTCCTCTTCGTCACTCTAGTGGTCTGTGTGGCTGTACATACCTTAGCTACTGTGCCCATGTATCTGTCACCTGACCGAGAACATGCGCAAAATGAAGTTGCTATGAAGGCTTATGCTGAGCACCTGGCCAATAACCTACCTCATGCCGCTATGTTTGGCCAGTCACGTGCAGTGCCACTTGGTCGGCCAAGTTTCACACGACCTTGGTACTGTTAATAGTGTTGTCTGGGGTACAAGCTTCAAAATCACTCAAACTTCCAAAGGCTGGCGGAGACGAACCTGTCACATTTCGTAAACTTTTCAATGCACGACCTGTTCACCACAATCTCCGTGTTAGCGCCACTGACGGGCACGCCCTGCGTCCCTGAAATATCTCGAGTTATTTAGTATGAGGTCTAGGAGGCGTGGCGTGCGCGGTCTTGCGCAACCCTCCAGGTGCTACTTTGAGCCTGAAAACACACTGGAAGTTGTTCAGCTGCATGGCAAAATAAACAAAATCACTTTTCCTTAAATGCCACAAACGTGTCAGCGTGATGGCTGATGGCAGAAGGACATCAGAAGTACAATAGATTGCACGTGTTGACTCAACGCGTATCCAAATGATGGCACATAATTATCACTTATCGCTCGTAAAGAAAACCCAACGAGACACCGGTCTATGTCCACAGCCAATCGAATCATCCACCAACAATCATCAAGCAAATACCGAAAGCATATCAGCAGGCGGCTAACCGATATTTCATCCAACCAAGACGCGTTCAGAGAAGTCGCACTGCTATACAACAGTGCACTTAGGAACAGTGCCTTTTCGCATCTGAAAGCTTATAATAGTTACTAGTTTAATAAGTACATGTACATGTGTACGGCAATCAACAGATGGGAGCCTATTGAAAAATACAATATGATTCTACGCCGTATGTGGTATAAAGAAATGGATTGTCCAGAACGGGTTGCTCGCTGCGGAACCTGTTTTAGGCCGCTAGACGAGTATCCGCTAGCATGCTTTCTTTACTTTGGTGCTTTGGACAAAGCAGGCCACTCAACGTGGAACAGAGCCCTACATATAGCTCTCAGCCCAGAGATTAAATGAATTTTTTCTCTTGAACTTATTAAACAGTTGCGAAGCCTCTTTTTCGGGCAAAGGAAACACAATTGATGAAAATGCAATACAAATTTAATGCAATCCAAGAAAACCAGAAAAGGAAAAATGTAACCCAAAAAGCATAAAATTTAATGAAGGTGATCAGAGGAAGACTGCGGTCGTAACTGACTGGCAGAGAGCATCCAGGTTGACACCTTCGCCAGGACACATGCGCAAGTGGTCCAACCATCCACTAGTGTTTTTAGGCTCGAGCTAACACCTGGAAGGTTGGCGAAAGACTGCCCATTCATTGTACCATGCCGCCTGGACCTCACACTAAACAAGTCCAATACAGGATTACCTTCAGGCTTACCTTAGCTGTTGCAATTGCGGAACAATGACAGAGAGATGGCCAGCCATGGGTATAAAGGAAGCTGTTGTTGAACTGCTGGGGTATAACGGTGATTCAGTTCTTAATTCCTGTAAGCTTCTTTCGCCTCCCAAACTTTGAGCGTCAAGATGAAGTGCGTCCAAGTCCTCCTTGTCACTCTGGTGGTCTGTGTGGCTGTCATCAATGCTGTGCCGGAACGTCCACCATATGCCCAAGAAAATGCGCAAAATGAAATTGCTATGAAGGCTTATGCTGAGTACCTGGCCAATAACCTACCTCATGGCGCTATGGTTGGCCAGTCGCATGCAGTGTCTGCCAACGCTGATTCGCCTGTGTGCACCTACTACAAGAACCTCTTCAACCACATCTGCGGCATCGTCGAGAATGCTGTGAAGCTAGGCGGGTTGAGCTTCCAGTGCGTGATTATCAACGGCATTCGTGACTCTGTTTGTGGCATCATCAACCTGGGCAAGTAATCGCGCTCATCTTGCCGTCCTGTGCACGGGTCCATGGTTGGTATCTCTAACAACGTGGCAATGATCGACAAGAAGTAAGGAACAAGATTGTGGGAATTAGCATTGGACATGAGTCACATGACACCTACATGTACATGTATTACCAATTCAAAGAGTGACTGTTATGCTCCCAATGCATCAATGTTCAACACGCTTGACCCTGCTGTAATTGATCGGGCAGATCACCACAGATACTAAACCCTTGTTACTGTCTCTTGATTTTTTTGGAACTTTTTCTTCACTTTTCAAGACCGGTAAACGTTGCTGTTGATGCTTATTAAAGTGCGATAGTTCCCATCCTGGACTGATAGCATTGGACGTGCATCATG